ACTTCTCAAAACCCCGGATGCCTCATTGTAAATTGCAGATATGTCAACTCCTGTCAGTTGTGGTGATGACCCAGTAAGATATATTAATCAGCATTAAAGAACTTGGTGGCTTTATGACCAACATGTACATTTAGGAGATGTTTGAAACTGTTTTTCTACAGACAGAGCTATTTAAAGGTGGAACTCACATAATTAAACATTGTCCAGGCACAAATTTCAATAAAGTTGAAAAGAATGTAAATAAATAATGGAAAAAAATTAAAGTTTATTATGATTATAGTAATATAGTTTTGGATGCCCAAATGAATTTAATAGGTTATCTATAGTGTGGCTTTATCATTTGTTCATGGAATTAACCAAAGTAATACTTATCAAAACTTCTCATTCCTGTAACAGTAGTGATTTGGATACCCTTGCAACTTGATCATAAATTAATTGATTTTATGTAGATTACTAATATTTTTTTTAAAGATTTATTTATTTGTGCATACAGAACTGGGGTACAGGCCAGAGGCTCAGGGGCAGTGAGAGGCTTCACCAGAGACAGAGTGGGGAACAGAACAGGCAGATCTACGAAGTACACTGCTGAGGGGAGCAGCGGGCGGGTTAGGAGAGGTCTGCCACGCCATGTGGTCATCTCCGGGGCAGGCGGGAATCGAACTCATGCGGAAGCGGCTTTAGATTCTCAGTGTTGTGCTTTAACCCGCTGCGCCACCAGGGAGGGCCAGATTACTAATATTTTTAATGGCATTTATAAAATGTTTTTTATGTAGCCTCCTACAATCTTTATAACTGTACTGAAAAGGGAAGTGCTCTTATTTTCATTGTTATTCCTATTACTTAGGCTAGCAAAGTTAACTTTTTCTCAAGGCCACTCAGTTATGGGGTGATAGAATTAGAATTAAAATCCTAGATTTCTCATTCCAAGCCTATTACTGCTCTTATGTGGTAAGGTTGCCATTATTTGTGAGGCCATATGACTCTGAGTTTGTCTTGCTCGAGGCTGAAAACCTTGTTTCCCAATCCATAAAACTGTACAAAATGTGCATGTTAAAACATGCTCTCCAAAATATGTGTTTTTTATACTATCACCTCAGAACTCTAAGCTGTCCATTATGAACTAACCTTCACTGATGAACAATTTAAGACTAACACAGGTATTTAAGTGTAATTTGGGTGGTCTTTTCCTTTGTAGAAAATCTCTGGTACAGTTCACTTACTGTACTTTTGATTGCATGTGGGCTATTTTGAGCTGGATTTCCAGAGCTTGATTTAATGAGCATAGATTCTTTGAGACCAGATTAAAATCAGACCATTCCAGGGGTTGCAGAGAATTAATCCGTTTTATTTGGCTTGTTATATACTTTGTATTTTCATATTGCATTCAGAAAGTGAGGTGAAAAGATCTTCTGTTGCATAATCAATGTCAGTTTAATTCCTATCTGTTGCCTAAGAACAGAGATAAAAAACTTAAGGATTCCATTTATGTTTCTGTATATTTTGTGTGTTCTTGCCATAGTTTAAGCAAACAGAATATAAGAAATATTCTACTGTTTCATATTTTGAAATGCTGGCTGGATAAAGATTACACATGACAAGTTATTTATAGCTTTATTTATACATAGTGGATTCTCTGTTAGAATCATAGAAGTGAAGAAGATATGATAATTGCTTTGTGTAGTTCACAGAATGAAATTGCAAACTGAGATGTTTTGAATCTAGTTTATACTGTAACCATTTCTAGAAAACCATATTTAAACAGCAGTGGTTATCATGAAGTATACAACATGTCAACTGTGTCCCAATTCACATAAGTAAAACCTTCCACCACTTTATTCCCTATAACCTAACCTCTATCAGATAATGCTAAATAAACTATGTCGAGTGCACATATTAATGTATATCAAATGTATCAAACAGCTTGCTGGCTGCATTTTCGGTAGTGTTTATCTATGGTCATGCAGGTTATAACTCTGAATTTTTATTAGGAAAACTAAATTGAGAATTTATAATGTGCCTGATTTAGCTTCACCAGCTGTGCCACAGCCATGGAAAATAACTTGAGAAGGTAAAAGTCTTAACAGTGAATAAGCAACAAATTGCCTTTGCTTTACGCTTACCTGCTTTGCATCTGCTGCTGTAAGCTTTAGAGTCACAGTAATTAGTTGTCTTTTACCTTTTATGTCATCATTTCAGAGAGTTGCAACAGGTAATTCTAGATTATCATGTAAAATCAGAATAATGATTATTGATATTTAACCATGGAAATATTGAAAATAATTCTTTAAAATCTTATTTTCCTACATATGTCATTCATTTATCCATAAATTGAAGAAAAACCCATCAAACTCCAAACATCCCTGACATGTCCTAGGGATAGCCATGGCACCTATTCTCATGGAAATCAAAGTCTAAAGTGGGGTAATGTTAATAAATATTACTGCAGTTGTGTAAATTGCTCTTTTTAGAAATCATACAATTTGGTGCTAGTAAAAATAAACAGTTTATATTTAGAAGAAATATTGAATTGGCAAAGGGATATAGTAAAAAATGCAAGAAGTTCCCTATAAATAGTTAATTTACTTGTACAGTTGTCAGCAAAGAACGCTGTATGGAATCTCTCATTATGAACACTTCCGCTTAACTTCTGCTTCAGGATGGTGTATAATAAGAAGTTGCTGGTTAAAATTGTGGGCCTTGACAGATAAGCTAATCCCTGAATGTAAATAGATGGTCCTTATTTACCACTATTGATCTTCTGCAGTATTGAAACAAACGATCTATATCATATATATTTTATTTGCTGCTACTTGATCATTTAATTTGGCAGTTAGAGAATAAGCCCCCACATAATGACCTTGTATTTTTAAAAAATTAGTTACTTTGTTTACTTATTTATTTTTTGCCTTTATTGTAGTTCCCATGTTCTCTAGAGCATTTCACCCTTAAACCATCACCACATTTTCTCTGTTTACCCCTCACGGTTTTACCCTCCCTAGCCCATCCTTCACTACATGCTTCGTGACCTTATCTGTTTTATTCACCATTGCATCTCTGGTTTCTTACACATTCCTGCTCTATAGCCTAGGATATGTTTTTTGATAGCCATATTTTACTCATGTAGAATTTATTGGACTTTTGAGTTACCTATTCACAGAAGACAGATATCTGCTACTTCCACTCTAAATGAAAATGTTTTCGCAATCAAAAATAGTCAGACATTCTCATTGTTATCATTTGGAAATGTCACACCATTAAGAAGCAGTGGTACTGCTTGTGATGGCAATGGTGAACTACTCACACCCTTTATAGTATTTAATTTTCAATCACTGTCTGTGAGCTACATTTTATGAATGAGAAAACTGAAAGTTTTGGATGTTAAGTGACTTGTCCCTGAAGTGAAGCTAGTATACATTTTACAACAATTAAAAAAATAGAGGCCGACATATGTTGAACACTTAATAATGCATCAGGCACTGTCCTATTTTATGTTTTACATAAAACATAAATGTTTTACATTTAACCTCATTATAGTATGATGAGAAAAGCATGACTGTCTTTTTCATGCGGAAAATGAGGTACAGGGAAGTGAAATAATTTTTCAGAGTCATATGATTGGTCAGTGGTTGAACCAGTTACTGTCTTACCTCACTCAGTACAGTGAGAATTGTGATAAGGAGAACTTCAGCTTACCATTTGGAACGTAATTAAAAATATTCACTTTCAGTATAATTTAATATTTTCCTCTATTTTCTACTGATTATGAAAAGTTTTTAAAGATAATTATAAATGTATCTCTGAATAGAAACAGGTTTAATTTGTGGATAGCAAATCACTTGGGTCTCAGTCAGGAATATTCTTTCTTGTTTCATTATTGTCATGAATGTAGTTTTGATGTAGTTCCATCAACAACTATGGATTGATGGAAATTAGTTTAATTGTTTTATCCTTTGTATGTGTTGCATTTTCGTTTTTTAACTCAAGGATTGGTGGGTCTTTTCCTGTTTGTGGGCATCCTGGGAAAAACCATCTTGATTTAATGCTTTCCTTTTGGCCAGAGGAGAGCAGAATTAGATTCTTTTTAAAAAAAGATTTATTTATTTATGTATACAGAACTGGGGTACAGGCCAGAGGTGAAGGGGCAGTGAGAGGATTCACCAGAGTTAAAGTGGGAAGCAAAACAGGTAGATCAATGAAGCACACTGCTGAGGGTAGCAGCGGGAGAGACACGAGAGTCAGCTACACCGTGTGGGTCACCTCCAGGGCTGGGATCCAACTTGCTCTGAAGCAGTTGCTGCTAGCTTGCAGTACTTATCGTAACCTGTTGCGCCACTGGGAAGGGCCCAGAATTAGCTTTTCAGAAATCATAATTTTATACTATGATTGTTTATTGGAGTGCCATTTATAGAGTATGACTTCCAAACATTGAACTTGACATAGTTTAGTTTTAAAAGGGCTAATTTCCCCCTTAATCATGTATTTGAATTATACTATAGGTAATTTATAAGCATGTTATGTAATAAGTATTTTTCTACTTCTGACTATGTTCAAGAGGAAGACATTTTAACCTTGTAATGACACATATTTACAGATTATTTTAAAAGACATGTCAAGATTTTGAAATGACCTGAAATTTTATCCTAAATTTAGGTTATTATCTGTTCTTACTCATTTACAGAATTAAACCTAAATGATAAGTGTAGCAAAATTCATTCAGCCACATTAGGAATCCGTACATGATGGTATTGTTTGGTGACATGAGAGAAATAAAGATGATAAAAACTTGATAGCTCTGTCCTGGGCCTTGTAATTTGTTAGGTGACCCAGACAAATACATAAATAACTAGTGCAGGGCAGGCTGTGATCAGTACTGTGGTACAGGCATCAAAACATACACTGGGAAATCAGGGTAGATTAATTCCAACTGGGAGGATCTAGGAACTTCTCATGGAATAGGTAGGATTGAGTAGCACTTAATTTATTGCTTTCATTCATTCTAGACTGTCTTCTGAAGATTGATGTTATTACCTTGAGCTCTTTAATTTTGTTGCCAATTTGGATAAGCATGGCACAAATCCTGCAGGGAGGTCCAGATGAAAAAGAAAAGACTACAGCACTGAAAGGTACATACTTAATTTACTTTTTCAGGATATTTTATTGTGCCTAATGAAGACATAGGAATATTTAGGAACTTCCCATTTATTCCAATACAGAATAATAATATCAGTGCCTAAACTATTTGTATCCCTCACACCTTCTATCTTAGCACTAGAGATGTACTGGATAGTTTGCACTCAATCTATACATGGTAAAATCATGTAATTTACAGCTGTGAGATTCCTTATTGCCTTTCTTATTCAAAGATATATATACTTAATGATAACACTAACATTGTAGGTTTCATGAGTCAGGACCAGTATCCTTATCAAGTTTTTGTTGATTGGAATGTCATACTAAGTTAAGAAAATGACTGGATGATGTCTAGTTCTGTATTCTATCTCTGTACTGTTGGTATTGGTATATTTTATGAGAGACATTCTATATTAACTTCTTGGAAGAAATCTGCATTACCCATTCTTGGGGAATTTTGATTTCTAGACTTAAAAAGCAACCCTAGCCATCTAAAATGATCTTACTCCTGAAAGAAGTAGCCACAATAAAGTTATCTGATATTCAATCTAATTGTCTAGTGACTTGCCTAGGAGCAGATTATTTTAGTAATCTTTGCAAGTTCCCACAGTTCTTTTTTCATGGTGGAAAGGTTTTTTGGATTTTCGAGATGTCAGGATGTTAGGTGATAGGAGTCCCTTTTGCTTGATTTGGCGTAGGTTTTGTCTGATCTTCAAAATGCTTTGTAGGAGATGGTCCAGCTCAATATGTACTAAAAGCATTTTGGCTACGGTTGTTTTCCTGAATTCCCTAACTGCTGTCCTAATCTCTGTACCAGGCTGGTTAATTAAGATACCTCATGCTCTTATATGCTTCTTTTCTCCCTTTTCATGAAAATCTACAGTATAGATAGAAAAAAAGTTGCCACTTTCTTAGCCAGCTTTGCCACACTATGTCCCTGCTTTTAGAAGCAATGATCTATCAAGGAGATGGAATAAATAGCAAAATATGGAAAATGAGTAAGAGGTTTACTTTAGTCTCCTTATCCAGACCAAGTCTCCTTACAAATGTAAGATGATAATGTATTAGGTTAGAGTGGTTGCAGGGGGAAAGATGAATAGATTCGAGATCTGTTTTGAAGGAAGAGGTGGCATGATTTGTCATTAGATTGGGCATGATATATGCCTAGTTGTAAAGGTGTAGGCCTAAATGAAATTGCAGACAGACTGTCGCCCAGGGCACCAGCACCTGTCCAAAGAAGCTGCTTGCAGGCATTTTACACCCACCACCGGTGACCCTTCTGGGCTCAGGCTGCAGACAGAGGCCAGCAGTGATGCAGGCAGCAGTGGCGCCCCTCCCGCGCAGCCTCAGGGCATCCAGGCTCTGGCTCAGGCTGTACAGAGGGGTATGGGGCCCCACTGGACCTGCTCCAGCCTGGCTTCCTCCAGCTGCAGACAGTAGAGGCCAGGGGGTTTGGCCCTGGATTGTAGCATGGACCATTTAGGTGGAGTTAAGAACTGATTGGTAAATGGCCCACTCAGCCATGGGATTGAAACCAGACATGTATGGGGGTGGGGGAAGGGGTCTGAAAAAACAATATAAGGCATGGCAGGAGCCAGCTTGGGGCTCTTACTGTGTTTCTAATGAGTGCTCACACAGGGAACTCTGTTCCTGGGAGACTCTCAAGCTCACTCTGGAAAGATTGCTGTTCTTGGCTTCTGAGGGCACACTCGGACTCTGAGACTCACTGGGTGCTTGAGGAGGACTCTGTTTCTGGCCTGCAAAGAAAGAAGAAGGAAGTGTACAGCGGTTGAAGAAGAGCGATGAGTAGCCAAAAACCTTCAAGGAGAAGCCAAAGAGCTTTGCAGAGGCTGGAGGCAGGTGAAGTGCCTCCAGCCTGCCTCTGAAATTACTGGAAAAGAATACCAGGCCCTAGGCCTGTTGTCTCAAAGATTTGTTATTACTGGTGTAGGGAAATGATTACTCGGGCCTTTGTGCCATTGAGTTCTGTGGCTATCACCTGTGGACTTGAATGCAGGAGTCATTTGGGAGCCTGGGCTCGGGATACTCATGCCTGATGGCCGATGCCTGGAGTATCGTGTGGGCATGAGTAAATGGGCACACCTGCGCTTGCAGGCTAAGCATGTAAGGGCGGTGTCACAGAGGACTGGTGCAGCAGGGGCTTGTATGGTGGTGCGTGGCAGGGGCCGGGGTAGCAGAAGATGAAGCAGCAGTCTGCTACAGAGGAGGAGACCAAAGCAGTGCCAGAGAGAGCCCAAAGAGAGTAAAGGTTTGCTGGGGGCTGGGAGGCCCACCAACCATCTGGATGCCGGCCTCTTGCCTTGCCAGCCTGAGGGATTGCCCTACAACAGTTGGCGTAGAAAGAACATTAAAAGCCTAAAAAAGCCACTGGGCCTGCTGGAGTCTCCTTTATGTCTCCTGAATCAGTAGAAAACCTGCCTTGTTTCTTGCGGGCATCACAGTTGCTGTGGGCCAACCAAGAACTGTTAACATGGTGTATCTGGCCTCCTGGCAGCCTCTCCCAGGCTGTTGCCTCCAGCGCTGTCCGTCTTGACCTTCAAACTGTTGCGGGCTGCTTGGACTTCATCTGTGAGCACCTCCAGCAGCGGTGAGTCGGATCCTGGCCCACTGCTAACCAGCAAGTGCCAGGCTCTTATTGGTGGGACGGCACCATCTTGGATAAGTGGCCAGAGTGAGATACCTGGGTGAGGTAGTTGCCATGAAAACTTTGTTTACCCCGTTTGTTAAATAAACCCCATTGTTGTTTTCTGAGCATGAGTGGTCTCGAAATTATGTGTGTGAGAACCCACTGTTCTTTGAACCTATAGCAATCCCCACTATAGCACCGTTTTAAAAATAGCACTAAATTAGATGCTAACAATTTGATTAACAAAGCCACGAGAAAATCAAATTGTAGTGGTTTTATAGAAAGTAAGAAAGTTAGGTTTTAAAAATGTGAAATTAGGATATAATTTATATCAGGTGGAGAAGTTGATTCTCGACTGAGTATTTGGGTTAGTTATAAGAGTTTGGAGACTCTTTAAGTCTAAAGACATTATTTAAAGTCATGGTCTCTATTGAGATCACCTGAGGTGCTTGTGTACCCTGAAAGGGAAGAGGTCTGTATAGTGAGCTCTGGGGTCTCTTGACTTTAGACTCAGGAAGGTTGAGGAGGAACCAGCAAAAGTGACTGGAATTGAATTTCTAGTAAAATAGGCTGAAAACCAGGAGCAACAATGAGAACCAGAACACCAAGAGAAGAAAATGTAAATAATTTAGTCATAGGCTGATGATGAGTCTTGTTAGACAAGGACTAAGAATCTTTTGGATTAGACAGTAGAGGCCATTGATGATTTTCATAAAGATATTTCAGTAAATTGCTGTAAATGAAAGCCTAGTTGGAAAGCTTCATCAGAGAACAGGAAGGCAGGAATTGGAGACCGTTGTGGACAGCCACAGAGGTTTTACTGCATGCTTGGATGCTGCTGAGAGTGACCTGCACTCTTTCAGAATAGTGGCTAATTTGGGAGGGAATATAAAGAATGGCTGTGGCTTTCTATCCTAATAGCCATTCTGAGTAACCATCTACATATACTTTGTGCATCTTTAACCTTACTTGATGTGAAATTTGATTTCCCAATTTGTGATTGTAATTTACACTTTGAAAAACACTACGTAAGTGTTCAGATTTGATTTTCTAGATTTGATTTTCTAGAAGTTTTAGTATGGGGCAAACTTGGGAGGGAAGAAGGATGGCTTAGATTGAATCTTCACCCACACACTTAAAAATACAGGACAAGACACAAAAGCAGATTCACATAGGAGTAAGAGAATGGAGAACTAAGAGAAGGGAATCTATGACTTTATGTGGCAGGCTGCTGTTTGCTCAGCTCATGTTTTCTGATTGTAGAACAGAGGCCAGGGTACAAATAGAAGCAAAAAAAAAAAAAAAAGTGGCATGCCCACGTTAGGTCTTTTTAAGGTTAACCTGGCATCTTTAGTCCACCCTCAGAACCCAGTAACCTCCATTCAGGAAGTTAGGGAGTGGAGTTTGGAAACTTGTGTCCTTCACAATCAAGTGCCATCCACTGGCTCTGGGGTTGTTTTTCACTGTTCCTTTTACAACTTTCCCCCTTTCAATTTCTGTGGTGATGAAAGTCACATGTCTGAATTTTTAGGTTAGTTTTGGAAGACCATTCTCTCCAGGGTTTCAGTATTTTCAAAGGAAATAGCAATCAATCATGCGACATTATCTTTGCTTCACCAGTGTGGCAGTCCTCTTCCATTTCTACAAAATAGTCTTGGCCAAAAAATGCTGGAGACTTTAGTGTAACAAATAGTAAGCATATAGCAGGAAAAGTTGAAGGGGGAAAAATAGCCCTCAAAAATTACGAGGGGAAACTCCTAGTAGAATAACCTTCTGTTCACTTTCGTCTCAGTTCTGTCAAATAGTACAATAAAATGCATTTGTAAACTACTTAAAACTAATCCATTTTTAAAAAAGATTTATTTATGCATACCAAATTGGGGTACAGGCCAGGTGTGCAGGGGATTTCCCAGAGACAGTGGGGAACAGACTAGGCCGCTGCGCCCTGTGGTCACCTCTGGGGCAGGGATCAAACTCATGCTGAAGTGGCTTTAGCTTCTTAGTGCTGTGCTTTAACCCACTGTGCCAGCCAGGGAGGGCTGAACTCCAATCCATTTTTATCTGTTTATTTTTTTGCCCCCATAAAACTCATAGTTTAAAATAACCAAGTAGAATTTCCAGCGAGTTTGTTGCAGCTTTCCATATGGGATCTCAGATTGAGCGAATTTGGCCTGTTTAGGCTTTGTGAGCGACTCTATGGTATCATCTCAGCTCATTCCACCTGCAACATTTGTACTTTAGGTTCTCTTCAATAGGTTCTGAGGGCTTTTCTCCCTGGAGCCGTGAGGCCTGCCAGTGGAGGTAAATTTCCCTACTGTCCCGGAAAGTCCAGGAGCTCTGCTCTGA